CTTCTGTGGTCAGACTTTTTGTTTTGGTTTTCTCTCTCCAGTTTGGACGAATTAGCTGACAGCTCTTTTCCTTGGCTCCACAGAACTGCATACCTCTCTGCACTAACAAAAATCAGATGTCCTAAAAAAAAAAAATCTAAAAACTCTGCGTGTGTGTTTGGATCTGCATCAAAATAATAAACATGATAAACAAGGGGTATGTCTGACTGTTTCTTTCGTCAAGTGAAGAGAAAATGCTGAAAATATTTACAAATGTCCTATATTAGGGAAAGTGGGGGCAAGTGAGTTATATTTTCTGTTTGTTTTTTGTAATACTCATTTTGGCCACAAGAGGCTGAAGTACACCCCGGCTACATCCACACTAACAACTTCTGTGTCCAGCTCCGTGTCGGAAACAATCTGCATTCGTACAATCACACCTGAAAATGCATTCAGTACATACACTACCGTTCACGTACACTGGGCATGCACGTGTTGGTGTATACACGAGGTAGACTGTCTACTCTGCAGTTGGTTAGTTGCAGCAAATAGGGGACAGGGAAATAGGAACAGCAAAGGCAGTTGTAGCGTTAAAATGCATAATTTACCTCTACAACAGTGGCGAGCAAAGACGGCAAGGTCAGTAACAATTGTAATTCGCTATCCATGTTGCATTCGCCACTAGTAGTCGAGGCTGATAAGACCCGATCAGGAGGTGAGCGTGGGTGTGTACGTCATCGTTTCCAAAGGTCTCGGGTTCTATCAGTCCAGATTAAAATGCAACTCCGGAGTTTTCAAAATAAAACGGTTCCAGCAGTGTTTCCAAAAGTCTCCGTTTTAGGCGCTTGAAAAGTGTGGACACCAGACTTAAATGTAGCAAAAGAGATGCGTTTTACAACTAAAATGGTAGTAATGTGGATGTAGCCCTTGTCTAAATACGACTAAAAGCATTCCTGTTTAGTTTTTTTTTTTTACAGGTAGTTTTTAATTTCTCTTTGCACTCTGGCTGCAAAGTCTTTCTGCTAGGTCTGCTGGGTTAAACATAGGACTTTCACCCTGGGGTTTGAATCCTGATATATTTATTGACTTTGACTTGCCGCTCAGGGCTTCCGTACCTCATGACAATGTTAACATATCCCTTAAAAATTCCTGGGCCCACACCTTGATCCAGATTATAAAAAGCTTAATGTTAAAAGCTACTTCACAAGTAAACTTAATTCATGGAGAACTTTTCAAAACAGCAGTTTAAGTGCTTCACAGAAAGTGACAAAAGAAAAGGAGAGATAACGACTGGGAAATGTAAAGTTATCACCTCAGGACAGCACCAATGAAACAAGCATTTTTAAAGATTTTGTAAGGTAATAAGTAGGATTCTTACTTCCTGTAGTAAGTCACCTGCCCGTTCTTCAGGTCAAACTTGTGCATCAGAGCCTGTCCGTCAAACAGGTGGTAGAAAGGTTCATCCCCCACCTCGAAAAGACCTGGACCCATCCTGAGAAGACTGCCGCCCAGCCATGATGGTAAAACACCTGCACACACACACACACACACACACACACACACACACACACACACACAGCGACTAATGGCTCAAACAAAGCAGGCAGTTTTCTGATCCAAACAACAAATGGGCAGCAGACAGTCATCAAAATTGATCATCATTTACATTTCATTTTAGTACTAGAATATATTTGGTAATAAGATTAACTCTCTTAACACATCATAGTAATGCGAATAATAATCATGATCATGCGAGCAGGTTCTAAAAACTTGTTTTATGAAAAATAAAAGCTCAACATCAAGCTATGAAGACCTGGTGCTGATTCTGCTGAATACAAGACTAGAAAAACCTTTATTTGGGGGTGTCTCAGACTGGGAAGGAGACAAGAACATAGTGTTCCACTACTTGTGCAGGAATTGCAGTTGTAATATGTAACTTTTCCCTGTTAAAATGTCTAAAAATGACTATACCTATGTTGTATATTTTTTGAGTTGTGTACTTACATAATCTCAAATATTTACAGCAATTCTCAAATCTATAGAGAAAATAGTGTTTTTTTTTTTTTTTTGCATCAGCGTTGTAGTGGCCTGCCAGAAGCTCAAAATTGACTTTTTATCCAGTTTCAAGCCACATTTTGCTGCATTTGTTGTGGAGAGGAGGGCACCTCTGTTGGTAATTTGGCTGCCGGTAAAAACCTCCTGAACATCTGGATCACAAGTTGTCACAGAAACAAAGGTAAGCAGTCTCTGCTTTATTTGTTGTTTCTTGTCACTGGGTCTATTTGCTTTGGAGAGGAGAAGACCTCTGCGGATAATTTGGTTGCTGGTAAAAAACCTCCCAGGCTTTTTCATGACATCACCCAACACCGCCTGTTTTTATTGTTTGTTGTTATTGCTTTGATTGAGAGACCCCTAGCGGCAAAATTGTTACAAACTGTGTGTTTACAGTTGAGCAAAACAGACAGTGATGTGTTGAAACAAAAGAAGAATTAGAGAATGTGAACAAAGAAATATGAGCATAAAATAAAAATAAAAAATAAGGCAATATAAAAACAAACACAAATATATACATAATTATTTGTAAGTATTTTATTGTTTGTTCCTGTTGGCTCTTGGTTGCTCTTTCCTACCAGTAATCTCTGCAGGTATGGGTTCACTCAGCTCCTCCACTGTCTCAAAGATCTTCCTGTAGCCTGCAGCAGGATGCTCCACACTGAAAAGGGAAATAAAAAAAAAACTGAATTAAAAGAACAATTCTGCAACTAAATTGAGTCAGAGAACTGGTTTTAAAACCTGCCTGTCTACCTACCAGGGTAAAATGCCAAACACTGCTCTAGATGATGATTACAAACCAATGGGAGTTTTGCATCCGGTCAAAGGCTTATTTTGACATTAGCCTTGAAAAACTACACCAGTGAAAACACCACAGCTGGTTTGCATCTCCTTAATGTTGGACAGAATACAATTGAAACTTTTTCCAAGTTATTTTACCAAAATTCTTTTTCCAGAGCAAAGCAGTTTCTCATTGCTTCATCACTAGCCTTTCCTGCAATTTCATGTTGAAACTCCATTTTTTTCCATTTGCAGTGGAAAAAAAAGTACAGAGATGACTCATTAAAACTTTGTGTCTTACAGTAAAACAACAAGCGTCACTGATTGGCATCTGCAAGCTGCTTCCTCTTATTTCATTCCTCAGAACCAATAAATTAAAGCAGTGAAAGGTCGGTTCAAAAATAAGTTTCGATCCTAAAACATGCAAGAACCTTTTTGAGAAGACGGAGTGTTTTACTCACCGGCTGGCCATGCTGTTTACACTCTCTGTACTCACAAGCTGCTTGCAAGAGACTCCAGCTTGCATTTAAACCACACAAACATTTCCTGTGGTGAGAGATGGAAACTGAACCCACCCCCCTTCTCTCTTTCTCCTCCCCTTTTCCATCCTTCCTCCCCACTCCCTCTCCCTTTGTCCACTCCTTTCATGCCTTTTGCTGCCCTGCTCCCTCTTTTCTTTTCCCTTTCTACCCTTCCTCCTCCTCCTCTGGTCTTAACCCGAGCTGAACAAGCCAGCTTTGTCTCGTCTCCTTTCAGCCGTCTGGCCCTCAGCCTCATGCAGAGTGTTCTCCAGGCCCCAAAACTAGCTCTTTGTCAACCTGAGAAACTCAAACACTCACACACCTACAGATGATGTGGGTCAAACTAATAAAGTCAGCTTTTAAAAGCCTGTATGCTGGTGTTGTTTGAATGTGGATGTGTATGTAGAAAGAGAACCCTGTCTAATTAGTTCCAGACAGCTTCAAGAAACACAGCTTCAAATATTTTAAGTGGCTAAGTCTGGAGCTAGGGAGCAGCAAGAAGAGGGGGAGAGAGTGAATGATTAACAGTGTTTATCTTTTTGTGTTCTGTCATTTTGATAAATGAAAGCTGAATGTTGAATAGAAATGAATGAAAGGGTGAATTTTTAAACAAATGGTTTCATTAATAAGGGTTAAAAAAAAAAAAAAAAAAGCAGTAATCTGTCATCTAGTGTGTCTCGATGCTGCTGAGTGCAAGTTGAAGACAACTGATGCTGGTTCCTGCCTGTAAATTAGTGAACAAAACAAAAAAGTCTGAGGTCCTGCTAACGGCCCCAACTGTCTGAAATGCTCATCCCACCCCAGTTATTTGTGTCGGAGACAGTGAATGGCATACTAATCATTTTTCCCACTTAAAAGACCAAAAAAACCAAAGACTATACCTCAGGACGTGAGCTATTTGTTTTTGTTTTATACTTTTTTTGGAACTGCATTCGATAGTACATTGTTTTTAGCTGTGCTATAGTAACCTGGATCTACGGATGGCGATCTCAGGGTCCACAGCTTTGGTCAAGACAGAAATATGTTAACTGTTGGATGGATTGCCATGAACTTTTATACAAACATTCATGGTCCACAGAGGATTAATCCTGCTGTGATGGTCCCCTGTCTTTTCCCTGCAGTGTCACGTGAGTTGATATTTGTGGTTTTAAGTAAAATGTCTCTACAGCTATTGGATAGATTTTGATGAAATTCGGCTCAGATTTTCATGTTCCCCTCAGCATGAACTGATTAGAAGATCAGATCACATTTTATGACCAATCAATGCAGAAAATCTGGTAATTCCAAAAGGTTATTTTTCTTGCCACTACTTCATCCTCTAGGAATCACAAATGAGCTCAGTGTATTTCACTGGCCTAATAATGGAGCTGCAGCAAAGTAAAAGTAGACCACAACAATGAAATCAACCTGTATCTAATTAATCAACCATCCTTTTGAATTGTGGTTCATTTCAAACTGCTACACCATAGAATATACCCACTTCTACAGTGTAACGGTCACTTGCACAAGAGATTTTGATGTGTTAACCTTTACAATTACTTCCAACTAAGCAGTTTAGATGAACTGACTCATTTAAAAACTTGCAGTTGTTACAGCAAGGTGCGCACACACAATCACAAATAGAGAACGGGACTAAGCCATACAAACAGAACAAGTTTATTTCCCAGGACTTTGCATAGTAAACAATGTAGAGGAAGTGTATAACATACATTCCTCTGTAAAGGTCTTTGCCAAAAACACTGCTGATGAGTGCGCACATGGTTACACACACACACACCATTTGATCTGAGGTATAGACAAATACACATACATCAGATAGAACTAATACTTCATACAGCCTAAGACATAAAAACAAAGCTTGGCATTTTGAGTCAAGTTTTAGTTTCCTCAAACACCTGACATAATGTGGGTTCTTTACTGCACGTCATCTTAAAATCCATTGGTAAAATTAATGGATGCCACTAGCCATCAACTACTCTCATTGTAATCTCATGAGACTTTAAGTATTAGCCGTAGCAACCATTTCCCCAAAATATGACAGATGTCTGGTGAAACCGTCTTTAGGGTGTCTAACATGCATTAAATATGTATAAATTAACAATTCTGATGATTGACATTAGCTTGCTCGCCATTCACAGTGCCTAAACCCAGTGCAAATCATTGCTCTATCCAATAAACTAACCAGGGATGTATTCGAGACGAAACACACAAACAAGAACTATGAAAGTTGAGTTGAACATGAAAAATTGGAGATTATGAAACTCAAAAGAGCTCTCTTGCGGAAAACCTAAAAAACAAAACAAAACAAAAAAACACACACACACAAATGAAAGCAACAGAAAACCCTAGAGGCAAAAGACAAGAATGACGAGACATAAAATTTGAGAAAAAGGGAAGGTTCAAAACTAACAAGCATTTCAAATAAAACTTGAGAATCTATGATATAAAACATTTAGTTAAGTCTATAAAAACATGGTTAACATGACAAAAAGACTTCAAGCAAAGATATTTCTAACACTACTCCCAGTTTCATCACTTATAAATTAATCTATAATCTAGTTATTCCCATGTGGAGAAGTGATCCCAGAATTGCATATATTTCTCCCAAAATGCACTCTGAAGCTACACATACAAACACACACACACACACACACACACACACACACACACACACACACGTATGTCAGTATTATATTACCTAGCAATAGAGAATGAAGGTGGGGTGAGAAGGAAATGGGTAAACAGATCTCACTAAACACAAAGAACATTTAACAAAAAACCCTGCTTCATAAAACCATGTTATACGTGAACACAATAATCAATATGAACTGCTCTAAGGAGCTACTGTCTGTCCACCTGCCTTCATCTTACTAAGCTGTCAACACACATCACAAACATACACACATGAATACACACATTAACCATTGTAGAAGTCTCCCAGCCTGCACTAACTCTCTTATAACCCCATTCACGAGACACAACAGGAATAACAGTGTTTCCAATGTAACAATGTAAAGTTAATGGCTGCAAAGAGAAGAGAACGTTTTTTACAAATCTCTTAGGAGCGCAGCGTCAGTGCAGTTATAGTGCAGCAAAAATGATGTAATGACTGTGGCTTCTACACCGATGACACTTGGTTAGTTTAGTTCCTGATGCTGAAAGCTTTGGTCTTCTTGATGTTGATGAGGGGAGGTTTAATCTTTGGCTTGTTGTCTGCCTTGCTCTCCCTGTCTGAGGGGGGGAACCGACGACTGTAGATGTCTGGGTACTGCTTCTGAAACTAAAAGAAACAGAGATGATCAAACTCATGATGCACGTGCGTGTGGGCCTTAAAATCCGTCTGAAAAGCAGCATGTCGATGGCTTTTCTGATTTGAAGTTCAGTTTCACCGGGTACTTTTTTGCACATGTAACTGCAGCCAGCTGTGATGTCACAGTGTACTGACACGCCCTGGAGTAAATGTCTACATCACTGCAGCAAGGTTAATATTTTGAGTAAAATATACATTACTTTCTTTCGTAGTTGAAACTCAGAATTTCTGAATTTGAAGACATCTGAAAATACTGCAAAAATATTATGAATGACAATTCGATAGTAAGTTACAAACAAATGTCAGCAAAATGACTTTACTGGTAGATAGACTGGTACCTGGGGCAAATATGACTTATTTTGGATATCAACAAAAGACAGATACCCATCCAGCATCAACACCTTATGAAAAGGAAGTTGTTAAAACTGCCAAGCTAAATGTAGCTGATTAATCAGCTGGGCTGACAAACAAGTCGATATTAGCAGATATATTGGTATCAGCGTATATGTTGGCTGATAAGTAACAAGAAATTTAAGTGAAGCTGTGAATGTGAAGTGAATTCTTCTACGGTAGAAATCGTGCTTAGTTCATGCTGTATCTTGGTCACAGCTCTTTAATAATCAAATCTAAGGCATCAAAAATGTTTTTGTTATGTTGGAAAAACAAATATCAGCTGAAATCATTCCCTGATTAAAAAAAAAAGTTCACTTATAAACATCTGCTTAAAATCCAATGTCAGTTTGGTTCTGTAACACACACTTCCTGCTATATCCAGTTAAATTAAGCACTGTGTGAAAATAGTAATATAACTATTGACTAAGCATTAGAGGAGTATTTTGTTACCTGCTTCAGTTTCTTGCGTCTGTCCTTCTCAGTGATGTTTTGGTCTGTCAGCAGGATCTCCAGTAACTCCTCCATGGCCTTCTGGGAAGATGCCAGCTTTTGCTGTTCAAACTCAGCACCGCTTATCTGACGGCAGAACGCAAACACAGGCACTGGGGCGCAAACTGGATCGCCGGCATCAATATCAGAAACACCATCGATGGGGACCTGCCGTCAGAACAGTTAAAAAAAAAAAAAAAAATGGAGCTCTTGTAGGAATAAAGATGTGAGTCATTTTCAGACATTTGGAGTTGCTCCTCTGTGGCTCCATTTTGGAGTAAAATTCACAGCATCCTGGAAACTATCTTTCTAACCAAAGTTAGAAAGTGGTTTCTAACCAGAGTTAGAGTTTTGAGATGATGTACTTGATTAAATTAGAGAGAAAGAAAGTTCTATTGATGGCTTGTAAGAAATCTCTGATGAGGAAATGGCTGAAAAAAAGAAATACCTAATGTTGTTGAATGGACCGTGTTCAATCTTTATGCCATGGAGAGAATGACTTTCAACTTAAGAGCCCAAGAAGACAAAAACTATAACTCGTCTCAACCTTCAGACCAAACTTTGTGTAAACATGCACCTGAAACACATTCTAGTCTGTCCTTCAAGCTCTCACTGTCTATGTATGCATGATTTTTTTCTTCATGATTAAAAAGGTCTTCATGTTCATATGCTTTTAATTTTGTTTTGTTATTTTTTTTTCTACTCTAAAAGCTAATAAAGAGAGAAAAAAGAAAGGTGATGTAAAACTCCTCTTTAGTCAACTCCACGGATGTAAAAAGTGTCAAGTGAGTCTGGCTCAGTTGTTTTAGATTCAGTTGACAACAGAATTGTTAATTACTGGTCACTGAATAGCTTGTAATCGTAAGATAATTTAACAGTCATTGAAGTCGATTAAGAATATCACACACACTGCTTTTGCTCAGCATCACAACTTAATGATCATCCCAATGACTGAAACGTTAGGATGATCATAACTAACGACATTTGGATGTGTGAATATCTTCATAGAGAAATATTCATTTAAGTGTTTTCTAAAAATAGGACATATAGTACATACAGTGCGAAAAGTGAAAGATTTTGAGCTCACTTGCTCTTATTTTTACTAAACGTTATTATCATTTGTCCATATGCACACAGGATGCATACAGTATACTGCAACAGTTTAAAGGTGTACCTGTACTGTGCGCAGATACTGTATGTGATCATTGATAGCACTGCGCAGGTACTCAGGAACTGAGAGGATGCTTTCTTGATGGTCCATTAGAAATGACACCAGCCTTGTGGCTAACAGCTCGTCCAAATCACACTCCTCAGCGCTGCCGAGGACACAGCCTGAAAAGGTATGAACCATCTGAAACAAGAATGACAGAAAACAGATAGAGAGACAGGTGAAGGAGGACAAACAGTTAAAAAAAAAAAGCCACATAAATGAATATATGTAAAGAAAAATCTAAATGTGATTAAAAAATAAATAAAATGAATAACTGTGACTGACTACAGTAAGATGTCACTGATCCCCAGAAGATTGAAATTACTACTACAGGAAACAAACGCGTATGTTGTTCGTTAGTTCTACAAGACTGTCACAACAGTTTAGTTCCTCACCAGCGTTCTGGTGCCGATGGCGGGGTGGAGGCGAGGCATGTCCACATTCTGGCTGATGCGTGACATCATCCTCATGAGGAGCTGCAACTTCCTGCGGGAGGTCGGGGGGAGCAGGAGGGTGCAAAGCTGCAGGGCCTCGATGGCTACACGCTCACACTGAGGCTGGGGAAGGCCTACACACACACACACACACACACACACACACACACACACACACACACACACACACACACACACGCAGTTACATAGTAATGATCACAGAGGAAGGTGAATTCCAAAATGCAATCCATAACAAAACAACAAAAAAATATGCAGTAGACCCACTCTTCTTGACCACATTCATCCATCACTGCTACATCACATTCACTAGATCAGACAAATGATGGATGAATGGATTAATGGATGGATGACAAGATTAATGAACTACAGCTATGGTGCAAAATGAGTCAGGTAAAATTTACAAAAGTAACATGTAATGTAGTATGCAAACTAAAACATCCCAGTTCATAGCTTTGCTCTAGGACATCATGGTCCTGCATGGATATCGCCTCAGACATTTCACTCACAGATACACTCATACAATATGTTATAGGAAGAATGTTGAAAATAGATATTTGCCAAACAGTAGAAAATGTTCTTCACAACGTACAAAGATAGGTGCCCTTTGAACATGTGCTGCTGTTGGTGGCTGGGCGGTACGTTGTGGTGACTCTATCAGTATTCTCATCTTCAGGCCACCAGTGCAGTTAGTGAGCATGGACAGAGTCCTTGATTTGATATGCATTATTTGAATATAATCAAAGAAACATTTTCTGGATAAAAACAAAATATAGTTTTTGCATTTTCAACATTATTCCTGTATCATATTTTATGAATGCATCTGAAGCTCCAGGAGATATCAATGCTGGAGGCTGTAGGTCAGGATTACCTGGTTTATTATTAATTATTTTAACAGCACTATGCAAACACCTTGTGTTCAGACACGTGTTTTTCTTTGCTTCTTAAACAATACAGTATCTGTACATCCAGGAATCATCAAATAGTACCTAAACTCTCGTGTTCTTTCAGCGCCTCTTTCATCACGACCACCATAACTGTACTAATCACCAATATATAGGTTTCCAGAGCTTCAGACGACCAAAATTTTCTGTAACTCTTCAACTCAAATCTCAGCTTCATCCTTTGATTTCAAAGGGATTTCTAGGTTAAAACTGAGTAAAAACCTTGCATACTAGTTGTGGTTAGATGTTAGATGGAGTTAGCATAATTAGGCATCAACAGACAAGCAGACAGACAGGTAGAGGGGAGAGGGTCTTACTGTGCTCAGGTTTGGGTTGAGGGGGCTGGGAGCTGCTGGTGGGCACACAGACAGGAGGTTTGAACAGTGAAACAGGTCGAGATGGCTTGGATACATCCAGAGAGCTGAGGCAGCGCCGGACAACAGCAGGGGCAGGAAGCATCCAAAGATTAGAGGTACTGGAGGCGGGTCTAGGCCCACTGGGTCCTGTAGTAGCATGAGACCCTTGTACTTTGGCCATAGCAGTTGAAGAGAGGGAGGAGAAAGGGTGATAGGAAGAAGAGAAAGGATGATAGGAGGACAACGAGGGAGGGCGTGAAGCTGAGGAGGAGTGCTGCTGGTCTGCAGGAGTGTTTACATTGAGGCAGCTGGCTGCTCGGCCCTGCCACTTGGTCTCTTTGACATCTTCCTCCTTGGTTTCTATGACCATGTCCAAACAGCTGCCTACACTGAGTGGCCGCAAGGAACGCGACCTCTGTGCGACTGACAGTCCAGCCATAGAAAATGCAGACAGTCGGCTTCTGGTTGTACCTCCCGGGGCGTCTTCACTAGAAACAGGGGCCGCTTTGGATGAAGATGTAATGTCTGAATGACTGTAATGTGTTGTGATGGCAGAACTGTCATCTTGACTCCTGTTGCTATAGGCGCAGGAAGCCAGGCTGTCATTGGACAGGAACAGCTGTTGCCGGGTGAGAGGGGCAGAGTCATCAAGGATGGTTTCCAGTGAGCAACTCCTGGTTTGACGTCTCGTGGAAACAACTGTACTAAGGCTCAGGCAGCTGCCACCTAACTGACAGTCACCTGCACCACCTCCTTTCAGTGCCGCCAGCCGTGACTTAAGTTTCCCACCAAGCACCTCTCTCATGGGCGATTCTGTCTCATCACATGTCCCCTGTCTGAGCAGTGACAGGAGGAGACACTCTGTTGAGCGAAATGATGCCTTGGCTGGAGGGGGGACTGAGGGAAGGTCAGACTTCTTGCGTTTCCCACGTTGGTGTGTGGTGGGTGCTGCAACATACCCACAAAACACTGAGAACAGATGCAAAGGCAGAGAGGGCCAAGCGGAGCAGGCAGAGTGTCAGTGCAAGCAGACAGTAGAGAGGAGGGAGAGGGTTTAGTTAGTTTAAACCTTTACTGCACATACAGAATCATCAGTTGGTCAGAGACAACACATAACAAGCATACACAAAAACACAGAGAGCGCAAGAACAGAAGTGACAACAACCAAAACCTCTGTTAGGGGTCAAAAGGCACTGTTAGAGGTCAAACCAGACAACCACATACTGGAAACAGAATGTTAACATGACTGACAAAACAAGATCCTGAAATTTCTGTTTGAGCATCATTTCCCTGTAACACAACAAGTGGCTTCTACAAAGGACATCGAGTTAGCTGCTTTTTTATTGGTTGGGAGTAACAGGAAGTAGCCCACTTACCTAGGACGTTGATAAACAGTTCATACAGTTCGTATGTGAGTAACGGCTGTGGAAGGCTGTAGAAGTAATCAGACACTGTTTTGAAGACATCTCTCTCAAAGCCGGGATATGACGGCTGTGCGCTGTCGTACTTTGGCCCTGGAAATTAACAGCAGGATACTGCAGCTATCATGAGAGTGAAGGACATTACAAAGCTTACACTTCTCAAATTACATTCATAAACCCAAGACAAAGTATGTACGAGTATGTAGAAGTTTTCATTTTCTAACTTCGCAGAGAATTCAAAATATCAAAGTGCTTATTTTACTGAATGTTGCATTCAGGGATTCCTAGAAGAAACTGCAGCATGTAAAGTTCTCCAAAGGCATTTATGTCTAAATGTAGGCGTTGGAAAAGTATGCATCAAATAGGAAAAAACATTTTTCCCAGCTGTTAGCAACAATTCTTAGCAATGTTCATGCAGGACATGCAGAGGCATCTGTAGTTTGCTACTCACAGTTGGCCAGGCTCTTCATGGCAGACAAAACCCAGTGTGGAAGGTCATCTAGAGAGATAACTGACAGATTAGACTGGTCACCAGTTACTGTATATTGTACTGTTTCCAATAGTCTAAGTCATGTGGGATTCCCATGTCTTTTTTTTTAATCATAAAGCTATATTAATACTGTTTTAAAGTATTGAAACAAGCCATCAGGACTTCTGTAACTTTGTGATGTCACAACAAATTAGTCATCACTCACAGCCATACCCCAAGCTCCGCTCACCTCGACCCACCATCCAGCCTTGCAGGATTTGGTGTTTCTGAGTGTTTCCCTGAAATCTGCTATAGGTTTTTCAATCATTCAGAAAATAGTCAGACAATCAGAAGAGAGGCTCAGAGCCTCTCTTCTGATTGGCCTGCCAACCTGTTACTAGAGCTCCAGAGAGAAGCCTGAGAGAGAATATGTAAAACTACATTGAGATGGTTTTTGGTTCTTAAAACCACAAATATATCTTCTTATGGATCTCAACACTTCAAATACAACACCAGAAAAGTGTCAAATATGGGACCTTTAACTACCATCGCACTTTATGATGATTTTTTAGGCTTGCTGGCTGCTGATGTGAATGTTATTTTGCAAATTTATAAACCTACTGGTCTTGTCGTCCAGCGTGACCACTCCATGCTTGTTGACTTTGGTCATATTATGGATGATGTTCTGTGGGTTTACGTAACGCTGGTTTAAAACCTCATCAAGAGATGCAACACCTAGAATCCTCTGCAGGCTGAAACATAACACATAAGCATTAGTTAGACAAGAAAATCGTCCTATTCATCTACTTTCTGGACATCAGTCATTGCTCGTGTCTTAGGCCAGATTTGCTCTTCTTCATTATTCTACAGGTTATCTAAGGATAAGAAGATGTGTATTTGTGACATACTTGTGACTTCAACATGAAAAATAAAATAAGCCATGCAGTAAAGGTGTATGTAACAGAAAAAGTAAAAAGGCTTTCAGCTCAATGTATGCGTTTATACTGGGTCAGGGTGATGTCTCTCCAGATGTCCTGTTCGTCTTCTACTGTCAGCTCTCGTCTCAGCAGCTGCTGCTCTCCTGTTGGCTGATTCTCTTCCTCTGCTGGGAGGGAAGGATCTACATTCTCCTTAAAGGGACAAATAAAAAATTTACCAATGTTACATAATAGATAATACATAATCTTTTCCTCTCTTTTTAAACCATGCTTTCAAACTGATGACTGATATATGATGTATAAATAATAGTATGCATTCAATTTTCGAACTTAAATGTACATATGAGAAGACTGATACAAAAATTCATATCCACTCCACTCACTTGTGTCTCCTTCTCGTTCTTCTTGATACTCCTAAACCTGAAGAAACCCTCTTTGTCCCTGAATGAAGGTCTTTTCTTTATGGAGCTGGGGGCTGGGCGGGGAATTGGTTTAAGAGGAGAAGTGGATGGGAATCTGGGGAAAGAGAGAAGACAAGGAGTGTGTCATTTGGTGTGGCAGAACACAATCAACATCCATTTTTCTAGATTTCTAGATTTAATCTTCTCCTTTATTCAATAATTTTGCAACAAGTTTCTCCAAAACCCTACCTACCTGTACAGTGAGTTGTTGTCCTCCAGATCCTCAGTGCCCCAGCGACCCTTCACATCTTCAATCACATGGTTCTTCAGAAATTTCTTCAGGAGCTGTACCGTCTGTTGCCTGGTGACATCAGGGCCAAAATTGCTGTTGCTACAGAGCAGCTGGTGCAGCCACTCCACAGCAGCAGAGGCAGTGAAGCAGGAGGCATAGTGCCGGAAGTTTTGGCGGTGTTTCCTAAGAGGCATGCCAGCCCGAAACAGACGTGTGACTTCATTCCACTGAAAGATGACAGAGATAGAGTTTAGTATTGACTAAGCTGTCCACATCAAGCTGACTAGGGCTCCAACCGAAGATTAATTTCATAATTGAGTTTTTATTAATTGTTTAGTCTATGTAAATTTGCCAAAGATAAGTTGCTCTACAGAAGGAGAAAGTCTCGTTCTGTTAGACCAAAAGCCTCAAAACTACCAAATAATAATAAAAAAAGACTCACAGATTTCTGCTTGACAAAATAACCATTTACCAGTATCAAAATTGTTATATTATCTTTCTATCTGACAAATCAATTAATTTACCATTTGTTTCAGGTCTAGCTGTTTCAAGTCTTTAAAATGTCAGATTTAGCCATTTTTCTGTTTTATGCAATTGATGATAAATTGATACATATGGGTTTCACATCTTAAGTTGGGAGAAAGACATCAAATTGCTTGTCCTTGAACCAGGAAACTGTGAGGGGGGTTTTCCACTATATTCTGATATTTTGCAGAAAGGAGCAATCATCACATTTATCAATCGATTAAAATTTTGTTGCAGCCCTTTGAACCAAGACTTATTGACCCATATTGGTTACACTTATCATACTTATCTCTGTTCACATTCTGACTTACTGTACAGTGGCTTTCTGTTTTATTAGTTTAATTATGAGTTTAGATCTGACATTAACCAGAGTAAGGATGAGTTTAGATTGTGGTTGAAGATTTAAAAAAATATCTGTGTAAAAATGAAGCGTGCAAAACGTGTAAAACGTTTACAAAATAGAGGGCGGTTTAAACACTAACGAGTCGCTGGCCTGGGATATAACTAGGAAGTTTGAAACACATTTAAGTTAAGCGTTGAGGAAAGTCATATACCGGGCAACAGAACTCATAAGGAGCTGGGTTAAGTAGTAGGAATAATAATGATAAAATTTAATTTAATTATCGCATTCAATAAGAAACCCCCACAAGAAAGTGTAAGGTGTGTTACTGTTAGTTAATGTACTGTTGACTGCAATTTTCCACATAAATTAGCTGTTAGCCAGCTTTTAGCTAGTTAACGGTCAACGTTAAAACTTACCAGTTTTGTTGCTCGGTACGGTCCAGGGGTGATAATATGAGAACTCATACTTATCACTAAAGAAAGCGCTAATGTTTTCACTTCATCCGATGTGAGAGGAGGTAAAAATATCCATTACTCGGGGATGGGAATTATCGGTGTCGTGCTGCCAGCTCTGCTGAAACTCAGCTCCGGCTGGCTGCTCTCAGTCTGTTCAAAATTACGAGCCGACGTCTTCTCGCACGGGATTGGATGGCACGAGGGTCACATGACCAGCCTCGAACTGAAGAGGGTGGAGGATCAAAACAATTAGCGAGGCAGCAAGGCAACATTTGTAAAGGGTTTAAAGGTTGTAATGCATTGCTTTATTAATGATTAATTAAGCAATGTCACACAGGAGGGGGTGATGGTGTACTGAATTTCAGCACGGCTGTGATTCGGTCGAATACAACAGTTCTACCAGCGCCATATTAGTTAACAGTAATAAGCAACGACAGATAATAATTTCTTTATTTATTTCATCATTTATTTGGCTACACCAACACAAATAGTTAACAATAGTTAACAGGTAATAGGTAACAATAGTTAGCAACTGGACTGGTACTGGACTGTTGCTAAGCTATACATTAAAAGTTTCGTGACCTAACGTCCTCATTTGAGCGCACCTGGAGGTGTGCGCCGTTTTTAGGGTTCTTTCGTTCCCTTCATCCTATTCTGACGACCGTAGATAATGTAATTCAAATGTTATTTCTGAAAATATATTCACCTTTGCGGTGCAATGTTTGTTACAATCTTAGATAGATAACGACCGTTAATGCAATCCAAATTAACGGTTAAAAGAACACCTGTAAGGCGGAGTGATACATGTAGTTAAAAGTCCCATTGCTGTCATGGAATGCCTCTTGTCTAATCAAATTGCTTGGTCGGAACTAACTGTTGTATAACAAATAATTTACTAATGCTGTATAGATCACTTATAATCCATTAATAAGAGAAACCCTTCTTTTGACTATAATAGTTAATAGTCCAGCAAAAGTAATTTTTTTTTCTCATTTGACCTCAATCATCATCAACACTCACACAGTAAACTACCCTTAAAAGCCCTGCTCAAGCTGAACCAACCCTATGTGTATAACCAAAATTTTAATCATTGCTGTGTGTGTGCTCCAGTTTGCCTGTCAGAGTAGGGAGCTGGAACTGCAGTGTCAGCAGGGCAACTAGGGAGTCAAGTCTTGTATTCACAAATACATTGAATTACATTAGCATATCTTAACAGACAAAGAGAGTGTGGTGAGGGTCAGACAAAAAAGACGGTGGAGGATAGAGACATTCCCAAAGGGGAGGTGGGTCCAACTCTGGCCACTGCTATAGACATGCTAATATCTGCAAACAGTACACTAACATCTATAAATCCAGTTTACTGCTGTAAACTGATGTGGCCAAACTATTTGAGTGTGAATTCAATCTCACTTGCTGTGGTAGTGGTGCTGTGGTACACATCAAGACTCAGTAAAAAGTAGAGTAGCCTATCCACAAAAGGTGATACACAGACACAAGACAGAAAATAAATAAGTATAGATAATACAGATAATAAACTGATTTTTGTATATCTATCTGACTGGCACTAATATACACTGTATTATAGTCATTTTCATTACTCACAATACTCATACCTCAATATCTATTGCAAGAGATGACATATGAAGCTTGAATACAATACAGGGCTTTGATTGCTACATTGGGATGATACATTTTGGACTAATACTGAACACATGAGCAAGGCTGCCCCCAGCTGGCCATCATGAGTGTCTTCCATTTGAAAATCTCCAGCCACTCCTTTCATGTATGGAATATTTATGGAAGGAAAACTGAGATCTGTGCAGAGGTAAAAGTTATTAAGTACATTTACTTCTACTCCAGTACAATTCAGATGCATATGTTGCACTTTTTACTCCACTACAAATTTACAAGCTACCTAGCAGTATTTAAAGTAATTCAAATTGCTTTTGACAATTGTTAAGTGAATAAAAGTAAATAATAAATAAGTTATTATTATCATTGAATCATGTATAAGAATTTCCCCAAAAGCCCTGGGTTTACTTTAATTTAGGTCAACATAAATGGGTTAAAGCTGTTATAAATTTGCACCACTGAAGTGATTCTGTGTGAAAATCTAGATTCAAGGCCTAAATCATAAAGTTCTGCTGTTAGATTTCTTCCATTATTTTTGTTTATCACGTAATTAACAAACAGAAAACCAATGGAAAGGGAGTATTATCAATCATAGGTGTAATGTAAGGCTGTAACCAACTATCTTCATTATTAGTAAATCCTTCCAATTATCAATACATCTGACAATTATTTCCTTTACTAATTGATTGATCATCCATTGTATATAATGTCAGGAAATAGTGAAAAATGTCCACCAATATCAGAATCAGAATCTGATTGATTGCCAAGTAGGTTTTCAACATACAAGGAATTTGCTTTGGTGTTCCCTGAGTTCCCTGCATCCCGAGCTGACATAAACAGTTTTTGTTTTGTCTGACCAATAATCATAAACCTGAAAATGTTGAGTTTACTGTCATAGTTTTCATAAATATTGTAAATACTCAATACAAATACTATTTTATATAGGTTTGTGCAATTACATTTTTGCTAAAAATTACTTATATGATGAATCCATAACCTAAATAACCGATTAAACAAACAATAAATAACTAATTTCTGTCAATCGACTTATCTTTTAATCAACAAATCATTTCAGCTTGGTTTGTGGGTGTCTGGGAAAATAATGAAACATGTGGTGAGAGTCAGTATAGGGGTCCAACAATAAATCTTTGCCCAAGGCTCCATGGGGAGGTTACTCTGTTCATGTTTGGCAGACTAAAGATTTTACCTACATCAGTTTGTAGAATAATTAAAAGTTATTAATTCTGGCAAAGAAATAGTTACATTTTGAACACAGATGTTTTGCATGTAATTTAACACTGCAGATTCAGTCAACAATTCTCTAATAAGGTCTATTTTCAGGGTAATTTCTATCTGTCAAGACTGGTATTGAGGGAAATGTGTGTTCTCAACAAAAAATGCCGTGACCCGGATTCGAACCGGGGTTGCTGCGGCCACAACGCAGAGTACTAACCACTATACGATCACGGCGAGCTATCCTTCGGACAATTTTTGCTGTAATACCTGAGCAATAGTTCACTAATGTGAGAATGAACGCATTTACTTTGTGGTTTAAAAAATGAATTAATACGAAATAAAGTCAGAAATTAAGACGAGGTTAGAACACGTCGAACACTAAGTTAAACCCGAGTGGACAATAACGTTCACGTTGAGGCAAAGAGCTTATAAGCAGGTGGATTCATCTCTCAAACTAAATTTGTGGACGATATCCTAGTACAGTGGAGTGACTTATCCGGTTTGCGCTACATACATATTGTACAGTGAAATCTTACTTCTGGTTTTTAAAATAAATTTCTGTTCTCGGTGGAATTTTGTCTAACTAAGTGAGTGGATAAGGGGGTTCTTTGGCTTAAATGGTGCCAAAAAATAACATTAGAGTGACACATCTTAGTTTTTGTTTTACTCTCATGCTATGGGCGTGGTTTATGGCAGTTTAAAAATGTAGTCGATAGTTGATTGGTTGAGAGCTGTGTATTCATATGGTTTCGTTGTATTCTCATTACCCATTGGATAAAACGTAGCCATCCCTCGCTTATGATTGGCTGATTAAACAACACGACCGAATTTCAAACTAGAACGTCTTTCGGTGTGTTGTTGAAGGAAGCGTGTTTAACGTTTGCTAGTCGGCTGGTATCGGAGTGTTAGTAAGCCGTCAGTGTTAGCAGAGGGTTACATGGATTGCTAGGCGTTTAAAAAACTGACTACGAAACATGTGAGTAGCTATTACGCTATTTTTATTTTAACGTAAATGGCTGAAACCGCGACTTCAACACGGACAGGATTTCTGGACTTCAGTCCAGTAAGGAGATGCAACGCGAACAAGGAGAACGATGTTCCAATTTTGAGTTTGATCCAGTTTTCAAAGGCTCCTTTTGTGGCATTTGGGACAGTAAAGTTGGGGACATCCAAGTCGGCTGTTCTGCGAATTGAGAATCCTACGGAGGATGCAGAAGCGGAGGTTACAGTTGAAAGGATCCCCTCAACTAAAGGCTTCTCTGTGGACCACAACACGTTCACCATTCAGGTAGGTTCTTAGCTACCTCACAGCTTGTCTTTACATGAAGGGACGCCTTCAAGTCAATGGAAGTTTGAACCAAACCTGTAGCCTTTGTGATAAATGGTCTTTAAATTTACACTACTGAACTGTGATAACATTGCAGTAGTTGTCTCTAGCTGCAGCAGGATGATGGAGACATAGGCATGTCCCACAGGGCCTGAAAACCAAGCCCAGGAGCTTTGTTTTGCCAAAAGTCAGACATGAACTAAGTTAACATATCTCTCCGCTTCCATTGCATCCATTGCAAGACTTGCAGTTGGTATATTTTGCCTTGTGCTTTGTGTTTGCAGCCTGAGGGCTCTTTCAGTTTGACAGTAACCTGGACTCCAGCAGAAGAAGGTGGGATCAGAGAGCTCATCATATTCAATGCCAATGGGGTCCTCAAGCATCAGGCTGTTCTGCTGGGGAGAGCAGAAGCACCAAAAAAGAAAAAGGTAAGCCACACATGCAGGTTTTTAACAGCCACAGACTCTTATTTAAGTACATTGTCCATACAAAGTCAATTTCAATTAATTTGTCAGATTTTTAAATAACAAAAAAGTGTAAAAAAAATACTCCAGTTTCGTAAAGCCATGGTCTATACATTGCTTGTATAGTCAAACCAGGAGTCCAAAACTCTGAAACATTTTGGCAAACTAAAACCAGTGACCTTTTGACATTTTTTGATATAAAAAAAAAAAAAAAAAAAAAGATTTTGAATGATGAATTTGATCATGTCTTCAGTGTGCCTGGCTTAAGGCGGTTCCACTTAAATATGACCTCACCAGCCTTGAAAAACACCCTCTCACATGGCACTGATGATGCTGGTGAAACTGAAAACTTCAGTGCCATGTGCTTCAGGTGGAGATGCATAAGGTTTTGAGTATCCTCACCTGTACCAGTAAGATTGATATATGTCAATCCTTATATTTCTTCATATCTTTTTTTCTTGTTTCAGAAAAGCTTATGGGACACAATCAAAAACAAAAGGGAAGGTGAGAAAGTAGCTGTCCCTAGGAGAAAGAAAATGGAGCCCCCCCTGAAGATGGCAGCCAATAAAACCTTCCAAGTGTCCCGAAAGCCGCAGTACAAACGGGATAAGCCACGCAGCCCGCTTGCTTCACTCAATGAGGGCAAAGCTGTCAGAGAGAGATCCCTCACGAAGCACAGTCCCATTGACGATCACCCTCGGAAATCAGAGGAACAGAAGGCTATAAATCCCAACCAGAGGCAACAGTCTCTGGCCTTGTCAGACCAGGAGAATATCCATCATATTCAGAGGAACTCTCCCGTCGTCCTACTTGTCCCAGCCGCAAAGGTGATGGACTCTGGCAGCATGTGTGCTAGCCCAGATGCCTTGGGGAGCAAACCTGAAAGCAAAGATCTTACCAAAATACTTAATAGGACGCTTTCACCTATTGGGACACCAGAGAGATTTAAGAAACTCATGCCTTGTATTCAGTCACACAGCCCAGTTCCTGCTACTGTAAAGTCTGTGGCTGTGGAGACTGTTAACAGTGAGTTAACTAGAACCCCAGTTCTATCTTTGAAAGATGCATTGGCCCTCATTGACTCTGACCTGAGCCACATTAACACCAGTCCTCGAGACTCTAATTCTAGCTGTGATTTCTCAGATTCACTGGAATCCAAGAGTGGAAGCCACGGCTGTGGACCCGACAGAAACGTCCTCAAAGCATTACCCGATAGCCCAGAGCTGACGGAGTCGACTGAGCCGAGACTGACTTTCTTTGTCAGCAAAAAGGTTGTTGTGAATGAGGTTGTTGTTTCAGAGGCTGATAAGGTCACGGAAATGGTAAAAAAGACTTCTTTTACCTCAGCCACAGTGATCAAGAGCAAAGCACCAGTGGAGGAAAACAGTTTGAGTGGAAGGAAGATAAAGAAGTCAAGACGAAGGCTCTTGGAGAAAACACTCGAGCTGTCTGACAGCAGCAGTCAGTGTGAGTCAGGACCAAACACTCCTAGACTTCCGGTTATAGATCCAGACACAGGACCTAAGGGATGGCAAAACTCTGAGGTGACCAGCCATCTTTGTGATGACACACATCAAGTCCTGGAGTTTACCTCCTCTAGCCCGACTCCACGACCCCACACCTCGGCCACACCCATCACCTTCCCTATCACCTCCCCTCCATCCGCGCCTCCTACTCGCTTCTCTTTCTCAGTCACCTCCCCACCTCCTGCAGCCCCTGCTTCCATTGCTTTTACCGTCACCTCTCCGTCGCCCTCGGGCTCATCTTCTCCTCTTTACCGCAACCTCTCATCAAGCCCTAAAGTATATGAGCAGCCCCCAACCCTTTCTGCACCTCCGTCCGTTCAAGAGGACTCATTTCCCATTCACATGGCAGTGAAGAGCAAGAAGAGGAAAAGTGAAGAGTATTTGAAAAGTGACGCGGCGGTAGAGGACGCCGGGAAAACTGCCAGGGTCAAAAGGAGCAAGGTGGCGGCTGGAAAAACCAAGCCCTCAGTGCAGGAGAGGAGAAGTGCATCACAGGGGCAACAGCAGAGAACAGCAGGTGAGCAAATGACTGTCTGTCTGTTATTTCTTCTGTTTCAGATATTACATGTAGGGTATACAGTGAATATTAAATCTGCACTTTTAAGGGCATTAATGTTTCAAGACGTGTACTTAGCTGCCATTTTATGAACCACAACTAATGCAGTCTAATACAAAAGTCCTGTAGGAATTCCTGCCTTCGTTGAGGTCATTATGTTGTGTTTTTGATGAAACCCTTTCAGATTCAACTTTATGGTCGTTGAGGAGGATGTGGTTTGTGCTTGTGTTGAACTGTTTTGCATTAAACTCACAGGTGTTTCTTCACCTCATTCATATCCATGAGTGTAGCTTAAATAATAGAAACACCTCCCCAGCATCAAGTCGATGTTCGTTGTAATGTAAAATCATTAAAAGAGATTTTCATCTTATTCTCTATTATAAAGCCTTGAAGGTATATTACCTCATTTTCTTTCTACACACACACTAACTGATGGTTGCAGGTGGTTGTTTCCTGCAGTTAGATATTCAGATTCGCCTTTGTACATCGATGCATCGATGTTAATGGAAGTTGAAAGTCACGTGAAATTGTTGAATAATCTGTTTTCAGAGATGTTTTGGTACTTTTCTGTGTTAAAAATCATCCTTGCTTCTGCACCTTCTGTATTTTACTGTTAAGCTCTTGTTTTTTTTTGCAGGCTCAGTGCGCTCGGGTGACTACATCATCTCTAAAGTAGCACACGGTCTGCTGTTCCTGCCCGAGCAAAGCCTCCAAGCTCCCAAACCCACCTCACGAGGTAATAAAAGGATGTGAAAACATTCGTATCTTAACAAAAGTCAGAAAGCAAAACCGAGACTCAAACCGGTGATGGCCATATGAAGAAACAAGCTTTTGCTCATTTTCCAGCATAAATCGACCTTCTTTTCTGGCTTCTCCCAGGTGCCCCGTCTCTGAATGATACCGCTGCTTCATCTGTGAAGATGGCAAAAGTCGTAGCAGTTAGCGCAGTCAAAGCTGACCTTTATTAAGCCGTGCAAACAGGTATTTGACACAGGACATTGTAAAATGAGCTTTTCTGATGTGAGAAGAAGCATTATTGCTTTTGCCTATCTTTAAACTTTTATTTATTTTTATCCTCTGCATCTACCCTTGTCTCGCAGCCATACCTAGGCACCCGATGCGTTTGCCGCCAAGAACATGTTCTACGATGAGAGGTGGATTGAGAAGCAGGAGAGGGGATTTCACATGGTGGATACAACTATGTCCTCACCCAGATGACTTTAAAGTCAACACTGAAGTTGCTAAAGTAACATCCATCCACTCAAACATTCAGCAGGCTGTCATTGCTCTTGGGGGAAGCTTATCTTAATTAAAGGAGGAGGCAGGAGTGTCAAGTGTTTGGTTTCAGAAATATAGAAATGATCTTGCTCTTAGAGTAGCTCGCGGCTCATTTATTGACTCGCTGAAGATCTTATAACTGAAATACACTTAGGTATTCTCTATTTAAATGAGTATCTACGCTCGAGGTGTTTGTATAAGTGGACTTTGTACGTCTGTGCAAGTCTTAAATTTTTTTTTCTTGTTTTCCTGTGTAGTGAGTGCTGTATCTTCTGCCATTGCAACAACGGACATACTTCAGTGTGCCTAAAGCTCCCCACAAAAGATGTGCTTTCAGCACCTTACACGCTCGGCGGAAGATTTAACCGCCTGGCTGCCGTCGTCCTGCCGTCCAAGGCTGTTTCAACAATTCGGCGAGGCAATGGTCAAGGCTAGATTCACTGGAGCGAGAGAATAGAGAGAGATTGCATAAGCTGTTTGATGAAATTGTCAAGTGTTTTCTGTTGATTTGGCTGTGAGTGGATAGGTGTAATTGTGACGCAGAAGCATGTGCATTATACAGCCCTTCATGTCATCAGTGCCGAGGAGAGGTAACACACACCATACTCAGAACGCTGCCGGTATGGGCCCAACATCCGGCGATGGACACGAGACCAAAAGAGAGATGAGTACGACGATGAGGAAATGTTGAGGGTGATTTACAAACTCGATAGTGTCCCCACAAGGCGTGAAAGAAACCTCCTTTGATGGGCAATGCTTACTGCCTGTGAGATAATAACACACATACACGACACGGATGTGTTAATG